TATGGCCATGATAAGTGCTGAATGAATGACAGGCTTTCTGTTGTAACATCGCGCAAGGTAAATAAGGGTGACATCTAGTGGAGAAGACTAATGATAAGATTCACGTTAATCAGATCTTGTTTTAAATGTGTGCTGAAATAAATCCCGGAAAAGATCGATTCGCGGCTTTTGAGAATCAATATCAAATCTACGTCATTTAAAAAAAACGATTAATCGAAAAATCTATTTTTTTGCCCAGCCCTAGTAGTTTCACTTTCACAACGAAACACAGCGCCTTCAAGACATGGTGGCGGCGGCGGCAACAACAATACTACAGCGAGAATAAAAGTTACGCCTTCTTTCTTTGCGTGAACATTTGGGCGGCGTTATGCAAATCTTCCCACATAGCGAAGTAGACATGTGGGGGCATGTTAGAACGAGCCGTTTTAGGTAGGCGTGGCTGACTCTTAACTTTTACAAAGAATATCTCTTTGGATTTGAGACTTTAGTCTTTGCAACTTTACAGGTCTTCTTTATGCACCAAGAGCTTGTAACACTCCAAAGCGAAAGGAAAATTGAAATAGCATCATATGACCCCTTTAAAACGTGATTTATAATCCAGAAAATAACTATATCCATTTTCATAAAAATATGTGTGGAAAACGTAATCTTTGCAAGATAAAACGAAAAATTATTTCAACTACATTTCACTGGCATTTGTTCTCCTACTAGAAGGTCTACAGAGCATAAAGCATTTTTAAAATAGTAGGCTACCAATACAAGGTATTTTTGAAATGAACATTTTTAAAAGTTACAATTATGCAGTTTTACACAGGGTGTATATTTTGATTTTTGATTTTGTATTTGAGCTGTGCGGCGTCCGTCAAAAATAGACTAGGCACCTATCTATAGCGAAGCGGTGCAGAGTCACAAGCATTGTGACAAGCATTGACTAGAATGGCTACGATCAGCTCCGGTGGCCGCGTCGGAGCCGTAACAGACGCACGCATGCGGTGTAAATCAGGGGTTATATTATATACCGCACTACAGGCTACAGCGCCATCTATCGTCGCCATAGGTTTAAAGGAAAAGAGCACTTTTAGATAAACAAGGCAATAATAGTGGCATTCGTGGAGGTAGGAAAACAAAGTTCTTTATGAGCCGCAGGATTGCGTGTAATAAAGAATTAAATGCAAAAGAAAAGGCTGTAGAGCTGACAATTTCTGTCAATGGTAAGTTTTAATTTAGAATGCTTGTGATAATGTAAGAAAAGTACATTTTGCCAATTGCTTGAGCAACTTAATATATAAATCTAGAAGTAAATGCAAAAGTAAAAAGCATTGAATAATGTGTTGCTTATATATATCACAAAGCTGAAAAAGCATTTTAAGTAACAATGTTTGGATTTGAAATCAAAATAATGGATAAATGTTGTGTTTGTAGTAAACAGCCACGGATCAGTTGTAGACACAATCAGTGCTGCTTCTGTACCGCTTACGTACCACACATGGACTGCATACGCACTGCAAACGGAGTATGTGTGAACCCGGTGTAAAAGGGGCCTCACAGCTCACGAAATCAGGCTTGTGCTGTTTGTAGGCTGTTGCGCAACAATTGCACGATTGTCAAAACAAAAAATGTAGTGCATGATCAAATATTTAGGTGAGATAAATATATATTTTTGAAAAATGTCAAAAAAAATCCACTCCCACAAGAGTCACCTAAAAGAGGAATTCATTTTCAAAAATTAAATTTAGGCCCAGAATAAATGTCTAAAAATCTTGATTGAATCATCACTATAAATAATTCTACATGATAAAAAGAAGGCTTTAAAAAGATCGGTATCGGTGATCGTATCGGCAGATACTGCTTTCTGTGATCAGCGATCGGTTTTGGCCTCAAAAATCCTGATCGGAGCACCCCTATAATGTTTGTCACATGTTTGAAAAACTGTATTATTAGTACCTACCTACTTTACAGTGTCCAGCCTAACTTGCTATACGTTGCACGGTCATTATCAGAGTCTTTGCACATGAATGGTCAGTGGTTGATACATGAAACATTAGTGGTAAAAATAATGAGTGTATATTTTCCAGTCTGTGTAGGTGAAGTCCTAATTACTTAGATTCATGTAGTTAATGCTCATTTTATTTACTACGCTCTGGGTGTCTTATGTAATTATCATGTGGCACTCAAGATACCCGACAAATTAACTCAAATGATCTACCATTCTCATTCTTCATAAGCCATTTATAAAAACATAATTGTGCGTAGTACTATAATATACTAGTAATATACTATTTTGTTATATTGATAATGCAGATCTGCATCACACATGGGTAAATAGCATTACATTCTAGTTACATGTATGCTTAAAAGCTTGTGAATATCAGTTGAAGTTTTCAGATTGTCAGGTGTTTCTGGGTTTTGTAGATGGGGTATGTGAGAAGCTTTGGTTGGCTGCTTCTCCCAGTTTGCCCAAGTCACAATGTGCTATTTCAAGTGTTGCCTTTGGCCAAAGTGAAATGTCTTATTGAGTCAACAGTCCTTGCACATATATGTGGAACGCGAATGTTTTATTTGGGAAGCTTTCTTCTCTGCGTAGAGCTACAGGAATGTTTTCTGGGTTGGACAGGATGTGTTTGGTCTTAAAGGTCCAGAACTGGGCACAATTGTGATCTGCCTATCAGCTCTCTTGATCTGAGCTTGTGTTTTCCTCTAAATGTTTCGCCAGTTTAATGTGATGTCACAAAGGAACGTGACCAGTCACAAGCACAGGAATTAAATCCAATAAAACAGCAGTTTATATTCTATTTTTTTATTTTTGTGATCACTTTAATTGCATATGCCTAGTTTTATGCATATGCATAGTAGTACATAAATTGCATAATTTATCAATAAATATATGGAATACATAAAGTTAGCATTATTTCTGTAGCATAAATTATCTTTTAGGATAAGTTTTTGTAATATTTGGTTAACACTGGTGATCATTCACTTTTGTGTATCCTTAATTATAACAATTTCTATTCATATGCCATTTTCCTCCTCTTCTAATTTAGTAATGCATATTTTCACAATGGCTCTGGGTGGTTGGGACTGTTTCTCTGATTCTTGCTGATGTTTTGGTCCTGTCAACATATTAACCCTCTGTTTGTCCATGTAACCACCATCACTGTTCCACCTCTTTCTCTCTACTTCTCTTTCCTCCCTCCCACAATTCCTCGGTCATTCACTAGGGGGCGCTCTTTTATGAGTCAGTACATAGCTCACATGGGGATTTCTAGACGGAGGTTAAAAAAGGAGAGGTCTATAACAGAGGAAACCTCAAGCATCTCCAGCAGGTCTGTATCACATTTACATCACTTTCTGCTTTTGAGCCTTTGACTAATTGTTTGATGTTTGTTGAACTTGTCCTGGCTACTGATATGAGGCCAGTTTAGAGCTCCTATTATATTAAAAGTAATCTGGATTTTTGAGTTTGTAGGTCAGCAAGCCAGAGTAACTTCAACAATAAATTAATCTCATTTCAAACTTTTCTGAACTAACAGTAATTACAACATATAACACTCACGCACATGTAAAAAAAAAAATGTGTGTCTTATTAAATATCTGACAGTTGACGAGGTGCATCACAAATATAAAAGGTGAACTAATGGCCACACAAAACAAGACTACAGAAACATAATAGCACTCTGAACAAATGGTGGCAGGGAGGTGTTTGCAGTGAGAACTTGGCAGTTGCAGGAGAGGATTATTGTAGCACACTAAAGAAGTCCTGAATGCTGCTTTCTCGAGTAGAACCGCAGAAGAAGCCTCTCACAGCTTTCTGCTCACTGTAGCCATGATGTCAGCTCGTCTGCGAAATGATAAATAAAAGTGCTGACTCAAATGAAGCAGCAGGAGGGTTCAAAGTGATCCGTCTGAAGAAACATCACATATGGATGTAACGATTAACCGCGAGCCGGTCGAAAATCAATTCAAATATGTGACTATTCAAATCGGTTGAGATGCTAAACAAATCGCGATACAATTGGAGTAGGAGTTTATATGAATGTATCTCTGAGGGGAACTGACTATCTTTAGAAAAGTTTACGTGGTATTTTCTTTTCATTTTACCTCTGAACAATGCATATTGAAGTAGTGTTCATGCAGCTCTGCTTTGTTTACAGCGGTAACCCAGGAAACACTGTATCATTGCTGTTCATGAGCGCCACCTGCTGTCAGCGAGTGAATCTGCATCTCATTCAGTTCGTCTGCGGTTTCGTTCAGATATGTTTTATGTAGTATAGTTTCACAAAACTAAAGTCAGACCATTCTGTTTTTGCTTTAGATTAAAAACTACTCATGCTGCATATTTGTTTGGACCATGATTAAAATCCAGTGGTTGCCTCTAATTTTAAATGGAAAGAGCACAGGCAAAGCCTTAGTTTGTTCATATTAAGAGATTTCTTTTATTTGTGTAACTTACTTGTTTGATTTGGGGTTTGTTTTTAAAATTTAAGTTTAGTTTTGTTATATTTCAATTTCACAAAGAAACGTGCAGCAATAGCCTAATAAAACGACACCTTTTCATTTACTGTATAATGTCTTCAATCTCATTTTGTAAGAAAAAAAAAAATCGTGAGAAAATCGAATCGTGAAATCAAAATCGAATCGTGGGTTGAGTGAATCGTTACATCCCTACATATTAGATTAGCAAACTGCTGTTACAGCTGGCCAGTGCTGATAGTCATTTATTAGTTTATGAAATTACACTGATTTAGTTAGTAATTATATGAATGGGTAGCATTCATGACTATACTACTACTACTTTTATTGTTATTATTATTATAGATTTTTTAGTTGAAGTACAATACTTCAGCAAGGATGCATTAAATTGATCAAAAGTGACAGCAAAGAGTTAAATTGTTACAGAAATTGTAAAAAAAAAGTTCAATAAAATAAATGCTGTTCTTTTGAACTCTCTATTCATCAGAGAATCCTGAAAATGTATCTTTTTTTTTCAACAGTAAAAATAATAAATGTGTCTAGAGTGCCATTTCTGAAGGATCATGTGATGCTGAAGACTTGAGTAATGGTGAAAATTCTGATTTACCATCACAGGAAAAATGTACATTTTTCCTATATTAAAATAGAAAAAAACACGTTCTATTGTAAAATACACAATGCACAATGTCTGTATTTATTTTAATGGTAGTTCATGTAGAAATGAACATTTACCGAGATTAATAAACGCTGTGAAGTTGTTATTCATTGTTATTTCATGATATCGAAAGCATTAACATACGTTAGCCTTATTGTATTGTTTTTCTTAAAGGAGCTGTATCAGTATTGTATCCATAAGAAAAGCTGAATGTGAAAATTAGATGTTGTTTTTTGAAACCAAAAAATTTACCTTCAAATAGTGTATTTCGAAGTGGATGGAGAGACACATTTACCGACATGCACATCCTTTTTGTGTTTGTGTATGTGTGGACGTGATTCACATGAAACTGCCCATACTGTGCTGTAGCCTTTAGCTTGCACTAACTAATTGTCTCTCCACAGAGCATCTTTCACAGAAACGGACTCTCCTCAGGAGGTCCCTTCCCAGACGGCAGCAGAGCAACCCAGCCGGACGGAGGGAAAGCGAGTCTTCAAGTAAGCAAGCAACTGATCCTGTGATAGGAGGAGTGAGGGGAAAGGCAGAGGAAAGAGATGTGAAAGGAGGTGTAGGTATTAGAGAAGGCAGGGCATTTTGGGAAGAACTTGAAGGTCTTGAAGGAGCAAAACAAGGATGAGTTGAATGGCGTAAGCGGTTTTGAACAGTGTGATCTGTGACACAATATATATGGGAATCTACTGCGCTAACTGTGCAATTACAGGAAAATAGGTAAGTCTTCAATTTTTGAGGTCTCAAAAAATATGGAATTTATTAAGTGTTGAAGTGTTTAGTTAATTGTTCTCTTAACTTATAACTTGAAATATCTGGAATTACTACACTGAGGATTAGTCTTATTATTTTCCCTCTAATGCCTAAGATCAGGTGTGTTTCTTACTTTTATCTTTCTACTTTTACTCAAACGCTCTTGGCTTGTATTTGTACTTTGTAACAGATTTGCTTTCTTCAATATGTTCTTTGCCTTTTTTTGTTCTATTTTTCTTTCTGTTTTTGCCAATTACCTGATTTACCTGTCTTGCTTTCTCTCTGTCTCTTTTTGTGTGTATTCTCTCTTCCTGTCTCCCCCTGCACCTTTCACTCCTCTCCTCTCTTCTCTCATAATATTTGGCACGTCTCCTAATCTCTTCCTCCACTGCTGTGGCACCCAACATTCCTGCGTTTTGCTTCTCTCTCCTTTTACAGACAGCACCAGGCAGACAGTGTTTGGTGAGTAGCTGCAGCGTGGCCAAAGAATGTGGCTTTTGGAGGTGCTAGTACTTTAAATCATTGTGATGCTTAGTCATTTTGGGGAGACAGAGTCATAGAGGGAGGGATGGAGGAAACAACTGCTGGCTGGAAATTTTTGAATAAATTAAATCGATCCATTATATCTGCCAAAGACTAATCCACAAAAAAATATTCTAACAAAATGAATATGTTTTAATAGATGCATTTCATGCATGGTTAACTTTTTTACCGTAATTATTTATTTTTCTTTTATTGTTTGCTATGCTACTTGGATATTTCTGAAATTGCATTAGTGCAGAATATTTATCAAAGTTTAGAAGTGAGAGTTGCCTTTTTATTGTCATGAATGGACAATAATTCTTTCCTCTGTGGCCTTTTCCCCCTCATTGTCATTCTTTATTTTCTGTTTTCTGTCATGGGAAAAGTAAAGTTCTTCTTTCATCTCAAATTGCTACTCAAAGATGACTTTATCTCCTGTCTTATTATGTGCTGCAATCATATCGCCGTTCATGGAAAAATGTGCTATTGTTGAAATTGCCAGAAAAATCCACAAAGCAGTTTTCTCAAAGCTTTAAAAGCCATAGTTAAACCAGATGTGGTGTAATGTCAACAGGTTTTTCTAAAGGTATTTTCTATACATTTAATGAGACTTGTGCAGTGTAGCTAACAGGAGTGATATGGGCAAAGCGTGTAAATTAAAGTGTTTCTCTTCAGTCCAGAGAGTGTGAATAGAGACTTGCCGGTTCTGAGGAATTATGAGTAAGTATACAGCAGCTCTGTATGGTTACAGGCTCTCTTTCTGCAAACATCAGCATGCGGTCAGGTGTTTGGGGGCTAACTCCGCTGCTACGCTCAGAAACTGAGGCTGTGTGTGAATATTAACCTTTAATTTGGCTATTTATTTTTAATTTAATGTAGTATAATTCTTATAATATTAATGATTCTACGTAGAAGTAACACGTTTTAATGCAATGGCACTGGGTTAAACGGTTACATTCTTATCTACTGCCTTTCTCAGCAAGTTTTAAAAAACAAAAATTTTATAATAGATTTCATCATGAATATGTCATTCATGTGAAGCCGTTTATTCTTGGCACACATGCCTCAGTGTGACTGACAGTTCTTCTGGTGGATCACTGTGGGGAGAGCCAATGCTCGACTGTGAGTTAATCAAATCTGATCAGCATGGTGGTTATTGAAACAAGTAATCATGCAGAAAATTTGTTTTCTACATTTATCTAAGCTTAGAAGTAAATTATATTTGAAATTGTGGGAAATAATTTATGAGAATAATTTATATGGTGGTGGTGGTGGGCTTTGTTTGACACAGGGCTTTTTTATTGTTTTTAAAGTGCATTTATTTATTATTCCATGTTGCCTTCTTGTACAATATTTTTGATTTGTTGTCTCTTTGGAATATAACTGCATGGTATTGAACAAGTGTGTAATAACCTTTAAATATAAATATATATACACTACCGGTCAAAAGTTTGGGACTTGTAATGTTTTTTAAAGAAGTCTCTTATGCTCATAAAGGCTGCATTTATTTGATCAAAAATACAGAAAAAAAAACCGTAATCTTGCAAAATGTTATATAAAATAATGGTTTCTGTTTTAATATCCTTTAAAATATAATTTATTTCTGTGATGCAAAGCTGAATTTCCATCAGCCATTACTCCAGTATAAAGTGTCACATGATCCTTAAGAAATCATTCTAGTATGCTATTTATTATTAGAATTATCAATGTTGGCAACAGTTCTGCTGCCAAATATTTTTTTGGAAACGGCAATACTTTTTTCAGGATTCTTTGATGAATAAAATGTTTAAAAGAACAGCATTTATTCAAAATATAAATATTTTCTATCTTTGCTATCAGTTATTAACAATTTAACACATCTTTACTGAATAAAAGTTTTAATTTCTTTCAAAAAAAAGAAAGAAAGAAAAATGCACTGACCCCAAACGTTTGAACTGTAGTGTATATTGTTAGAAAAGATTTCTATTTTAAATAAATGCTCTTCTTTTTAACTTTTTATCCATCAAAGAATCCTGAAAAAAGTATCACAGGTTCCAAAAAAATATTAAGCAGCACAAACAGTTTCCAGCACTGATAATAAATCAGCATATTAAAATGATTTCTGAAGGATCATGGAGAAATGATGCTGAAAACTCAGCTTTGCATCACAGGAATAAATTAGATTTTAATGTATATTAAAATAGAAAAACGTTATTTTACATCATAATAATATTTCACAATATTACATTTTTCCCTGTATTTTTGATCAAATAAATGCAGCCTTGAAGAGCATAAGAAACTCCTGTAAAAAACATTAAAAATCGGTCCCAAACTTTTGACCGGTAGTGCATATTTTTGTTACTGTACTAAATAGAAGTCTGGACAAACTGAAAGTATTCAGTCCAGCTTAAATTTAGTATATGCCTTTGTGATTTGAACTAGTTTATGGTTTCACTGTTTTCTGCAGATTCAGAACACTTATGTGTACCAAACCCTCCATTTACAGCTCAGTAAATGAGTGCTTCTTCTCCGTTGGCTTTATAGAGACAATTTCTTGCGTAGTCTGGCTGCATCCCAGTGGGAGAAGAAAAGTAAGTCATACGGCGCACATGAGAGACCTTCTCTAAGCGAGAGTGTGGCGTCTGCAGATGTAGAGGCATCTACTGAAGCCAAGCAGCCGGTCTCCAGCTCAACCACCACAGGTGCTGATACCCTGACCTTCTATTCCTTACAATGTCACACTGTTGTGCAGATTTCTTCCTTTTCAACCGGCTGCGTTCCATCTCTCCAACACTCCACTTCTCTGTTGTTCTCTTCCTCTGCTTGTCTTTCTATCTATCAAGACTCCAGTCATGATCCGACATCTTAATCTCTCTGCTTTCCCCTGAACAATGAAGCTTTACTAAACCTAAATGCTTATGAGTGTGTAAGCGTATTTGTGGTCATTTATTTGTCTGTTTGTGTGTGTCCACTGTCATGAAGAATTACAAGCTAGTCTACACTGTATGTCAACTCCTTGAGGTTATTGCACATACTGTTAATTGCCAAGTCTGGAATGTGCTCTGATTGTTCTAGAGCAAGTTTGTCATGATTATGTAATGTGTCCTGCTGAGATTCATAACATTCAGCATTCCAACTGATGGTTCTGACTGCTTTTTAGAGCTGCACACTTTTAATTATTGCTTGCATGCGTGTCATCTGGTTTATGCCAAACATAGATAGGAAGTTGCCTAACATGATTAATGTTGTAAGGTTGAGATTATCTTTTTGTGTTCTTCTGGAATCATGGGTCCTGCAAGGCTGAAAGTCGCTAATTAAGTGTCAGAGAGATGATGATTGATCTTTATGGAAGCAGAAATGATAGTTGGACAATGGCCTGCATGTATGCAACTGCCAGTCCACATCACTGCTGCATCTGAGAAGCAATATTTCATCAGCAGTAAATTAAATGCACTAATAAACTACTGTATGCAGTTTATGCAGTTGTGGTTTCAAACCTATATAACTTACTTTCTTCTGTGGAATACAAAAAAGATACAGTGTTGTTGTTGTTGTTAACGAAAACTAAACTATTAATAAAACGTTTTTTGTTAATTAGAATAAAGGTATGGTAAAACAAATATTACATGAAAAAAGGAAAAAAATCTTTTAAATTAGAAATGTTGTCTTGGCAACTAATTGAAATAAAATAATTTTAAGCTGAAACACTAAAATATTAAAACTAAAACTGAAATAAAAATAAATTAAAGCTAAATATATGGTATTTTTTTTATATTAAAGGGGTCATATGATGCTGCTAAAAAGAACAGTATTTTGTGTATTTGGTGTAATGAAATGTGTTTATGTGGTTTAAGGTTCAAAAAACACATTATTTTCCACATACTGTACATTATTGTTTCTCCTCTATCTAAAACAACGTCACACACGGTGGCCTACAGTGAGCAGAGGCGCTTGAGAACGGCGCGGCCGGCGATTTCGACGAAGGAGCGTCCGGAAGGACATGTGACGACTACGGGCTGGACTCCTCTTCGTCCACGGTGAAAGCCGATTCGGGCGATCGACAGCGCAAAGTTGTAGTATTTCCTCAGCGACCAGCACGGATCAGCTCCAGGCATGACGAAGCAGATATCGTCTCTTTTGGAAGACCAAACAAAGTAGTTTGTGGCCGACTCTTTAACTTTTATAAAGAATATCTCTTTGGATTTGAGACTTTAGTCTTTGCAACTTTACAGATCTTCGTTATGCATCCAGAGCTTGTAACACTCCAAAGAGAAAGGAAAAATTGAAATCACATCATATGACCCCTTTAAAAATACATTAAATATGACAAAGGCACATAACACAACAACTAGAACTTAATGTTTTAAAATTAAAACAGAAAACATTAAAATTAAAGCAAATTCAAAATAAAAAATAAATACCATAATAGTGTATAAATAATACTAAAACAGCACTGTTAACTGTTATGAACTTCCTGTGGCGACTGTGTGATCCTGGTTTAACAAACACATTTTCTCAAACCAAAACTGAGAAGATGTGTAAAGTAGATTAGCAGCATGGACAGGACTGTCTTTTGGATATTAATAGTTTGCTTCATGAGGTGTCACATATTCACAACTGTTATAGGAACTTTTGCATGGAATTATATAAAGTTTTTGTACGGTTTAGGCACTGCTGGATCTTTCTTTGTGAAGTTGTGTTTTTTTCAATGTTTTCCAATGTGTCTTGCAGGATCTATTAGTGGTCCGGGGTCTCAAGGGGTAAACTTGACCAGGCACACCCTGGAGCAGCCAGAGGACACAACAGCAGCCCACAATGAAGCAGGCAAGAGATTCCATTCCCACCACAACCCTCCGTCTCTGTCATTCTTCATGTCATTCATACTGCCTCTCTGTCTGCCTATGACGTGAACAAACATTGTCTTCCACATACCTACTTCAAAGCTTAGCCAGCCGTCACTCTTAAAATGCCCCTATTATGCCATTTTGAATATTGCCTTTCATGCAGTGTGTAATGTAGTCGTATGTGAATGTAAACTATCTGCAAAGTTGTGAAGCCGACAGTGCACGGTAAATAAAGTTATTGTCTCTCAAATAAAATAATCGACTCTGAATCACCTAAACGAGTCGTCAGGAATTATAAT